TTCCATTGCACCCTGTTAACTGCTATTGACGATTCCTCAGTCTGTCACAACCAAAGACGCAATCTCTCTGATCCTTGCACCTGAAGGGACTGTAACTCTTACAGATATGGCCCCCCAGATCACAGGAACTGCAGGGTCTGAGCAGATATCGGTACCCAGGCCGCAGGCAAGCGGCGCAATAGATCCACCTGCACAAGAAACAGGAACTCGGGTCAGTTCACTTGAAACTCGTCATCAAAAAGCTCAACTAATTTGGGCTGGTAGAATAGCAATAATTCAGCCCAGTACACACGAAGTAGCCTCGGTGGAATGACGAGCGAGAATGTGAGCGCAGCTAGAAACTATGAACCGGCCAAAGGCTTGAGACTAATACCAATTTACAGAACAGCAATGGTGAAACAATTACGGCATATCCTGGACATGACAGAAATAATGAAAGATCAGATGAGCGTGAACTCACTCAGCATTCGGACGGGGACGACACGAATCGAGATTCTGATTCTTCCAACGGCCATGCACCGACTATGTGAGCCTTCACCCGATATCTCAAACTACTTTGGGAAGGAAGTACTGACCCCTTACTACGTGGTAGTCCTAACGATACCGGCAACACTACCAACTCGCAGAGTAAACGAATCCATCTCTCCAATCAAGCCGCCGGTGTCATTGGCGCAACTACAGGTGTCTTTTTTTCTCTCTTGATTGCATTTGCTTGGTATCGGTGGAGGAGAGCTGGTCCCGGATTTCTGAAGCTCAAAGCATAACTTCTCTTGTCTGCTTCCGTCCAATTAACCATGGAACACCTGTCACTGGTGCTTCAAGCAATATGAAGGCATCCCATATCGATTTGGGTGCAACCTTCAAGACTGCTACCTTGAGGTCCGTTCCTTATCTGCCCCAGGTCGACCCTAGCCTAGTCCGAACACATGCAAGTGACTCTGGGAGGGTTTTGTACCATAAAGGTGACCTAAGGGCTATCAATCTCCATCTAAACTTTCTCGGGCAGAGCGAGGATACCCTTCGTGGACATCTCGAACTCTCGGGTCATCAATTACTCGTGCATAGATAGGACATGATGCTACTTACGCGAAAACACCTCAATATGTATTATGCTTCACTCTATCTGTGAGTCTTATTGCTAAACTATACGCTTTACAATATGGATGAGGCTTCACCTCGACCTGTAAATGTATTCTGTCGAATGATACTGTAGCCCTTCATATTGACCTTACTTCAATACACATCTCACTCAGTATTCTTGCATTAGTACCTCGTGAGAGGTAGATCAAGGAAGCCAATATATTGGACAGGCAACGAACCAGTTTCGTCTAAGGCTAAACCTTGTTCCTGGACACCAACACCCCCCAACCAACAACTGTCAAGTGCAGAGCGTACCCAAGTCACAAGAAAGCGGGAAGCGTATAACATCCAACTTCCTTTCCAGTCCCTCTACGTTTTCGAACTCGAGAAGCGTAATTTGACAGTTGCGCGGTTATGCAGGGCTGCACGGTCCACGCGTTGCGAAGACGGGCGGGTCCATTTGTATCTATCAAACAGGAACACCTTTCGGGAAAATGTTGTTATTAAAACGATTGCTTCTGGGGTTGTCTCCAACGCCAAGGCATGGAGAAAAAAGGGTTGATTCTGCGTACAAACAGTTTCCAGTGAACAAGACCCCCCTTCCTCCCTCTCCTAAAATTGAGAGGCCTGTTCTGTGCAGAGAAGATGCACCGCTGGCTCTGGGGCATTGTAGTTCTTATTGCCTGGGCTGTTGGCGCACTTTCACAGGACGGAGCATCGGAACCGCTCACAGTAGTATGCCCACTCTACTCGGCGCAGTGTGAATGGGTATTACTCACGTTCAGGGGAGGAGTCAAGCCATATAATCTATATCTTGGTGTCATCCCCGCTGGAGGAGACAAAAACACCACCGTCTCGAACGAACAATTTTGGCTCGCAACGGAGGACAATGACTATGGATTGTTTGTGGATCCATATATAGGTATGTTGTTATAATCACACTCTAAGATGTTCGATTCATTCACAGTCAATCTGACTTTTCCGATTGAAAATAGCTGCAGTCGGCGATATAGTTCGGTTCCGAATTCAAGACTCTGCAGGGGCGGAGGAAATCATGTGTCTGTATATACCACGAGCAAGTACGACCCAGCATCTAACTTGTACATTGTTACAGGGACACAAATAACGGAACAAGTGGTAGCCGAATGTGAAGCTGGAGGCTACTCTTCGGCGGTGACAATAGATCACACAACGTATCCAGGCGATG